GGTTTATGAAACCATCTAATCTAAGGCCAAGAATTATACATCACCCCAGGTGGCGAAATGCTTCTAATGGAGATACGGGATAACAATTATGAAATTACGTACTAGAATTGAACAAACAAGTAAATACTTTCAGAAAATGAGAACTAGGCTTCTCACTGATTGCGAAATTACAAATTAAGCAAAGGGGAATGCTAAAATGAACCCTGTGGTACTGAATTCAAGCTAGAGGTATTAGATTAACTCTAATATATCATGGCTTCATTACATACACAGCATACAGAAACATAAAAGCATATGTCTATGTGAATGTTGTATAACAGTTCCCCCCCAAGACTAGAACAATCCATCCTGTGGGTTTATTAAACAGGAAGGCAAATGACTCAAAACAGCTTTAAGAAGTTCCTGAAACTGAGCAGATTCACTAGAACAGTGGTTTTCACCTGTGGGCCAGGAACTTTGGGGTAGGGGTCGAATGGCCTTTCACAAGGTCACGTAAGACCACTGGAGAATACAGATGTTCATAGTAGCTAAATTACAGATATGATGTAGTAATGACAATAATTTTATGGTGTGGGGGCCACCACAACACAAGGAACTCTACTCAAGGGTTGCAGCAGAGTAAGCAATAAAAACAGAGTGCCTCACTCAGATGGTAAGAAGCTAAGCCTCGAAAAGGACTTGCAGATCAGCAGAGCTGCAAAGAAGACTCCCTCGAAAAGGACTTGCAGATCAGCAGAGCTGCAAAGAAGACTCAGAAACCACAGCCGCCTGGAAGAAGTAGAAAGCAGCTGAGCCGCCTGGAAGACCAGCCGAGGCACCTATGGGACACTCTCCAGCCTGTTGAGTTGTCTGCAGGCTGCTCAGGGAGCTCCTGGTTTCCAGCTCTATGGGCTTTACCCATGCTGGGTGGGCTTGGTGATGCAGCTGTGTCTGGGTCATTTGTCTGGGTCATTTCTCCTCCTGTAATTAACCCCCCACCTGTATAAGTACATGCCTATAAGTGACCCCACTCAAACTGATTGGTCCATTGAGTTGGACGTTGGTGGTCCCTGTCTGTTGTGGGTTTCCTATTGGATGTGAGTAGATGTGTGGGTGCATCCCCCGGGAAAGCTGTGGCACCCAACAGTGGACTAGCAGAGATACAAATGGCTCCCAGTGCTGTCTGTGAGAGGGCCCAGCCACAATCCCTGGGTGGACAGACTTGAGCAAGGACATCACCCACAATCTCCCTCTACTGGCATTCATGCCTTTATATAAAAAAGTCCTTCCGATTGGTGACGGGAGGAGCAGTGATTTGTGTCCAACCATGAGGTGACAAGGGTGAGAGAGGTCGTCTCACTTCTGAGAGCACATTTCACAGAAAAGACAATCTCGCTGGAAGGTTCTGCTGTAGACTCTTTCTATAGCTTTGAGTAGGCAGCCCTGTGGGAGAGGGAGGCTGGAAGTGAAAACAGTCCAGGGCCAAGATCAAGATGAAAGTCTCCCAACAGTGTCTGTTAGGAGATCCTCAGATAAGATCCAGTCTCTCTGACACCCTGACTGCAGTACCATGAAGCCCTAAGCAGAACCCCAATGAAGCCCACAGTCTGAGACGATGAGTAGGCGCCGTTTCCTCAGCTGCGAGACTGACGGTGACGCTGTGCAGCAATAGACAGGTAGACAGTGCCACAGGGTCAGCCATGAGCACACGGAGGGCCCAGATTCTGGTCACTAAACATAATCTGACAATCAAGGACATCAGAATTCCTCAAGAGGCATCTGATTCCAGGGCCAGGGCAGGAAGAACATTAGGATGACGGGACCACCTGTGTGGTCAGAAGAGGGTTCCCGATGCCAGAGCTGGGATCGCTTGAGTAACGAAGTAAAGATGGACCATGTTGGATTCCAACGGGAATATAACTCGCGGCTATTGGTTGGCCTCACCGTGTCAATACTCAGAAAAGACATTATTTCCTCACAGAAGCAGCAGGACAGAAACTCAGGGATGCTCTCACGCACCACACTGGTATGACTTCAAGTAAAACCTACTAAAAATATTAAAATCACTAAGCAAAATTCTGAGGGACAGGATATATGGACTCAAAGCATCTCCCCCAATTCTTAAGGAAAGGATAAAATTTTCACACTGTAGAAGCCCAGTGGATAGCACGGTCACCGAGAGCTCAAGGTCAGCCTTCCCTGCTAGTGGAACAGACTGACATAGCGAAGCCCTGACACGTTGCAGCGAGGATGCGTCTTTCACATGGAACTCATTCAGAAGTGCATGTGTGATCATGAGAAGAAACAGGAAAAATCCCTAAGCCTCAATTTGTGGATATTTTAAGAAAATAACTGACCTGTGATCTTCAAGTGTCAGGAGAGCCAAAGGACTAGGGAGCCGGCAGGTGGGGTAGGCTAAGGAGAAACAGAAGCAGAACGCAGGGCTCGGATGAGTCCTAACGCTGAGAAAGGCCATGAGCGGTGCGCAACTGGCCAGCGAGTACAGGAAAAGATGCTCAGCCACCCTGCTCACCAGAGCCACGATGAGACATAGCTTCACAAAGAGGCTCGAATCAGAGAACCAGACAGGCGATCAGAGTGAAGGGAGCTGGATTCTAACACAGGGTGGTAATGTAAAGCAGTCTGGCTTCGTACACAAGTGCCAGCCTGGGTGTAAGATGAAAGAGAAATTAAAACACGACTGTGCGAACATTTACACACCACCTTTCAGACCACCATCGCTCCTGACAGCGGGAACGAGAGGGAAGAGAAATGAACAAAGGTCCAGTCCAATCCCAATAACGGGGGAGCACAACTGTGGTCTGGTCACACAGCAAAACACTGTTCACAGAGCACAGGGCGAATGCTTGCTCCTTATCTACCACATGGAGGAGCCCAGAAAACCCCGTGCTAGCGGAGTAAGCCAGTCACAGCGACTAGATACAACTGTGCTCACACACGTCCGGAACAGAGTGGCTACAACTAGGATGTTAACTCCAGCTAGAAAGTGCATAGAGGACAGGATTTCTTTCTCGGATAAAGAAATGTTCTAAAATTGATTGAGGTAGTTGATGGAGGAGGGTTATCTGTCTATTGTGTTATTTTCATTGGTCAAT